CCCTCATGGAATCTGGACCCACGGAGAGGGAGAGAGAGGGGGTGTCCCTTGAGAAAACACGACCTGCAGGGGGAGAGCCATCTGATAAAGAGTGCATTTGCATAAATCATCAGGCTTTCAGTGCATGAAAGGTTCTCTCAATTACCGAGCATCGTGATGCTCAGATTGAGTCGTTCTGGAGTGCTACAGCAATCAAGCGCTCTTCGTTAAATTACAATTAGTGTGAATTTGAAGCAGTTCACTGTCTTCCGCATAGCTGGTGACACTACCAGTCTGGGTAAATTCAATTAATTTGCCTTAAGGCCAGTTTAAGAAAATGAGCCTCTAAACAAGGAGATCCTCCAGCAAACATCCCCACAGTCCAGGTGTCATGTACCAGATGCACAAAGAGTAATTTTAAAGAAGGTTAAGTATCTTTCTTCTTTTTCAAAAAAAAAAATCAGAGCACTTTGCCCAACCGTGTTAATAACTGCGCGACACAGAGCAGCCAGTAATAAAGCTCAGCAAAAGGAATCAGCGAGTGGCTTCATTTAAACACACTCTGTTTCAGTACCTTCAGCTAATCCAGGATTTACCGGTTACTAAATACTGAAACAAAGGCTCCATGTCCGATCCAAACGTGTCTTAATTGAGTTTTACTGGAATCTCCATCCACGTGGTCTAAAAGACACTGCTGTATAGACATTATGCACATACTGTGTATCTCTAATCTGAATTCATGAGACGTTGTTGGCAACCTACTTAAAGAACAAGATTGTCTGTGAGGCTGCCAGCAATGAATCTAAGATTACAGGATCACCTTCTTGTGACGCTGTTGGACTCTTCTTAACACTGAAACAATTTTGCATACTGTGCATATGCATGATATTATAATGCAGAGCTATTGTTTGTGCTTTACTTGCTTCACCAAGAAAGTGATAAAAATTCAAACACCAATCACATAATCCATTATTTAATATCCATCATAAATAAAATGCATGCATCAATAGAATACAGTATATCCTATGATTATCCTATTTAAAAAGAACAGTTTGAAGATGCCGCTTGAGAAACGCCTGCCCTGTGGTTTTCCTGGAGCTCGACCTCACAGACTCAAAGAGATGGCATTGCTGCCAGTTCTAGTGCTGCACCCGAACTGTTCGATTTGTCTCATTTTCAGCCCCCAGCTGGGAAACTTCCAAGCTTCAGGGCTCCCATTTTCACTGTGCTTGAAGTAAGCATGTGTGAAAAGCAGACATGTGTGCATTCTGGGGCGTTCCTGCCTTGTTTGTGGGGGGCGGAAGGGATACAGCCTGTATAATACGTATTAATTATTATTATTACATTTACAGATATTCTCGCGTTCGGCCTGCTTCGTTTTTAATCCCTCTTCGCCATCTGCTGGTGGAGTCTCACACAGCACTCACATTGAACAAAATCCAGTACGTAGGGCTGTACCGTTTCGTAGTACTCCAGAGTAACAATGTGATAACAGAGAGGGTAAGGGCCTCTGATGTGCATTGTAATGATAATAACACACCAGTACCACAGCGGAGGAGTGTGTAAAACAGTCCTGAGATTATACTGAATCACAACCTTGTAACGATCAGACCTCTTTCGGTCCGATGTCAGAGAACGGAAATGAATGCAAATTCAGCTACTTTCGGTCAGTGTTGATGATAATTAACCCATTACATTACAGTTACAGGTTACGTCTGTAAGAGATTATTGTTTTAAGTTTAAAAAAACAATGAGGGCAATGCCTTTAAATAAATACATGTATCACGTTACACAATGTTACGGTAAAACGCGACATAGATGCACTGTGACTGATCACTTTTCAATCTTTTTGATTGCTTTTGGCAATGCATAGTCTTCACAGTACAATTTGGAAAGTAACCACTTCTCTGCATTCAGCATAAAGCCATCGTGACAGTCTGATTTCTGTGTCCACAGTGCCTCTAAGATTTGTCGGCGTGCAGGATGTCCTGGGGGGGTTTGTCAGCGTGCCATTTTTCCCCAAACATGATTTTCCTTTTTAGATCCAAACATTAATGCGTCCACGATTCTGACACTTGGTGCTTTTGCACGTTTCAAAGTGAACTGGACGACGGCACAGAACGCGGATAGCGTGGGAGTCTGTGCGTCTAGTGTGCTTTTACCGAGCAAAAACAAATTGGTGTTTCCAGCACCTTGCTGAGCAGGCCCTGGTGGAGGTCTCTGGATCGATCCCATGTCTTTTATACTGCTGAGTTTTGTATACTGCTGTGTATAGGAATGTCTCCTTTCGATGCCCATCTCCAACAATTGCATGCATGCGTTAGATGTCCACCGGTGCCTCAGATCACAAAGCCCAAAGCACACCGACATGACTCCCGCGGTGCGAGCGGCCTCAGACAAGCCCGGACACAGTAGCAGGCATGTCCAGACCACGCGGGCTCAGCGTTGCGCTCACTCGCCCGGCCCCTGACGTCACAAGTTGCCGCAGAGGGTGATGGGAGGTTGCGCGTCTAAAGAAAAGCGGAAGGCTTTTCTGGTTTCTCTTTCATTCGATGTCCCTAAGTATATTATTAATGATTTTGATTGATTACTTTATAAGTTGATTTGGAAAACAAACCTCATTACATGAGAAGGTCTCTTCTAACTCAACCTAGGAATCACGGTGGATTGAATGTCTTAGATGTTTATACTGCTAATATTATCATTAAAAGCAATTGGCTTAGAAATTATGCTACAAACAAAAATAGTATATGGAATTTGATTCCCAAGTTGGTTTTTCAGCATATAGGCAATCTCGATTTTTTTGTTAAAATGTAATTTTTACTATTTATAGAATTCCTCTTAAATGATCTAACTTTCAGAAACAAGTTTTATTATGTTGGAATTTAATATACAAGCATAACGTTTCACCACATACATATTATATTTAGAATAATAAAGATATAAGGTATAAAAATAAAAGGATATTTTTTCTGATATGGTATGATAAAATCTGGCTAGTGGCCCAATTGTTAAATTAAGATGGAAGATTGTTTACATATACAGAACTTTTGGAGAAATTTAAGAGAAAGGGGCGAGGCTGTTTAGATGTAGTCTCGGCCTTGCCAATAGAGTATCTTCTGATTTCTCTGATAATTTATTTTTGGATGGAGTAGATATAAAAGATAAAAAAATGCAATAATAATTATATTAGGAACTTGTGCAATTCATATTTCATACCTTCTTGTATCTCCTTTTGGAATACTATGTTTAGAAATATAAACTGGAAATTAGTTTGGACAATTGCTGATAGTGTCTTACAAATAAAGTAAAAGAAATTCCAGTTAAAATCATTAATAGGTTTTATCCTGTTAAATTGACACTTTCTAGATTTAAACATGAACAAGATGACTTACGTGTATTTTGTAATAATGAGAAGGAATCTTTATTACATTTGTTTGTTAACTGCATATATGCAAAACTGTTTTAGATAGATCTGCAAGATGTTATTGTTAAACATTTAAAGGTAAATGTTAAATTGAAAGATTTTGATATTATTTTATATTTTGTTAGATCTGGATTGGATAAAGAATGTGTATTTATTATTAATCTGTTATTTTGGCTAAATACTTTATCCACAAAAGTAAATGGTCTAATACCGCTCCCTCTATTCATGCTTTTAAAGCTGAATTCCTTTTTGATTTAAATTCTGTTAGTAAACTAAATAATTTTTTTACAATATAAATATGGAAAAAGAATAATTTTTAGCTTTTACAATTGTGAATCCCTCTGGCTGTGAAGTGTCTATTTATGTGTCTATTTTAATATTCTGTCTCTTTTTCTGGTGTTTAAATAAAAACTTATTTTTTAAAAAAGCACACACACAAAAAAAAAGGTTGCGTGTCCACATTCCAAGTGAGGTGCCCGACACTCAGGACGCTGCAGTAAAAACCCTGAAATGGGTGCAGATATAAGTCTCTTCGGATGAAAGCATTAGCCAGAATAAGCGAGCACATCAACTGAAAATGGGGCTACTGTCAGCTCTGGAGCTGGGGTGCTATCGGAGTGGAGTTTGTCATCTCCCCCCATATTAATGTGGGTTTCTTCGCTCCATGTGCTAGTGGGATAACTGGCTCCTGGTAATATTGGCCCTGATGTGACCGTGAGTCAGGGTGTGTCCTTCCATGCACCGGGACAGGCTCTGACACCCCCGAGTTTCCTTCTCTGAATTTATTTATGACAGACGGTGTTTGAGGAAAGCTCTAAGCTCCATCAAAGACCCCACACGCCCCAGCTACAGACTGCATGACCCTCTACCATTTGGAAAACGGTACCGGAGCATTCGGACCGGAATACCAGACTCAGAGACAGTTTTTACCCCACACTATCAAACTATTAAACTCCAAGCCTCTCTCACCTACAATCCGAACCCTCACAGTGCCTTCTCTCTTTATCAAATCCCAAACACACATTGAAATCTACCTCTACCTCACATGTCAAGAAGTTCACTCCCCATAATTTTCTATCCTTTATTTCATTCTGTTGATGTATGTGTTTGCACATCTTGTCTCTGTCTTTCTTTTCTCATACAATTGTATTGTTGTTGTTTTTTGTACTACTTATCGTCTGAGAGCTGGCTAAATATCATCTCGTTATGCCATATACCTGTGTATGAGTATAATGACAACGAACCTGACTTGAATGGTAGAAAGCGGTTAGAAAATAAACCGCATGATCAACTGGAAAAAGCAACGTCCTGTTACAGAACAAACTGCAGGGGGCGTAAGTGAACTCCAAACACTTTGTAAAAGACAAACAAATACTTTCAAAATGTGCACAGCTGTACTGTTAGGGTGGGCTAACAAGAAGGTCTCTATTTCTCCGTTCAGCGGTGATATAGTTATGTAGACAGCGTGTTTAATAATGCGCTGTCCTCTTTGTCTCCTAAATTTTCACCCATCGATTTTGTAACTGCATCATCCGATTCAGGAGTGGGATTCAGGCCGAGCCGGAGCCTATCCCAGCAGGCAACGGGCGCAAAGCAGGATACACCCTGGACGGGACACCAGTCCATCGCAGGGCACACGTAGACACAAACACCCACGCCAGAGCCACTTAACCTGTCGGTATGTTTTTGGACTGCGGGGGGGGATGGACCACTCGGAAGAAACCCACACGAACACGGGGAGAACGTATGTTTATATAAACCCCAGAAAGACAGCAGCCCACTTCTGGAGCTGAACCCAGCCCCCCGGCGCTGCGAGGCAGCAGTGCTAACCGCTGAGACATCGTGCCGCCTTCAAAGTTATCGTGGTAAAACGTAATCAGCGTGAGACCGTCCGTGTTGAAAACAGGGTGAAGCGAAGAAACGTGCGTTAAAACCACGGTACAAGCATGGGAAAACAGTAAAAAGTCCAAACACGTGTGGTGATTCAGTACCATGACTGTCCTCGTTCCAATGGATTTGCCTTTGTTGCCACGTTGGTAAATCGGCTCAGAGCATTTCGGGAGTCCCAGAAATATCGCTCAGGTGAGCCGGGAGCCGCTAACCCGCCGGGACGCACCCCTGCTCCCACAGTTGCCAAGACTGGGATTTGTGAGGAGACGGCGCTCCAGAGTACCGAAACCCCAAGGACTACCTCCCAAGTGCATTAGCACCGAAGAGCGTTATCGGCATGCTCGACGACTCACAATGTTGCCGAAGTAATAATAAAAAGAAAGTAGCAGTACAGCGTTTAGCGCAACAACGTTACGTCTGAGAGTCTCGGTCTCCGTCCCTCGGGCTGTGACGGGAGATACTATCAGTCTCCGTCTACGGCCGGGAAGAAAACGGGCTGGTTTCGAAACCCCATAGGTCTGCAGTAGAAAACAGTACAATATAAACCCTCCTCTCCTGTGTTAAGGCACTCCCCTCAGCCAGGTAGGCCAAGCCGAGTCACAAGCTCCACCCGCAGAGGCAGAGCGGCGGAGGAAGAGGAACCGGACTGATCAGCGTGTTCACACTCAGTCCGATTCGGGCTCTTTTGCAGATCCCGACCGAATCCGAAGTTGTGGGTTTTCCCGGTGAGTGTCTTCTTGATTTTGTATGTGTGTGTTTGGGGGGGTTGGTTGGTTTAAACAGGTGTTGTGAAAGGCGCAGAAGCAATGAGTGGTTTTTTTTTTTACTGTTTGTTTTTGAGGGGATTGTTGTGTCGTTAACTTACGTGTACTGCGGGGTGAAGATGATTGCTGTAAAAACTGAACTGCGGGAAGGTCCGGAGATTTTCTAAGTTGGGGGGGGAACGACCGTGCTCGCCGCGACTGGAAAACTATCAAGAGACTAATTTCGAAGTCATTTTTCCTGTTGGGGTGTGTCTTGCGGTCTAAAATGTGTATTAAAAACGCACTTGTGCCCGGAGAGACAGCGGGAGGAATCACTACAGTGGTTTAACGCGTCATTTTCCCAGCCCTATAAGTGTGTGTCCCCACAGCGTGTTTTTAAAGGTCGGTGAGTGTACGCAGGTTTATGGACTTCTTTTCTTTTTTTTTAAAAAAGAAAGACACTGGAAGCGGCTGAGCTTCTCTTTTAGTAGGTTTGGAAAATCAGAATCCCTCTGGAGGAAGCGGACAGCATTCCAGGAACTTCCGCCCAGCCCACTTGACATCTCGCCCCCGTCATTTTTTTTTTTGGAGGAAAGGTTATAAGGCGAGGAGACTCTTGAAAATCCGGCTCGGAAACGAGGCGCAAATTCTCAGACCAGGTCTCTATCGCCACTTTTTGAACTTTGTTTTTGTTTAAATAGAAAACCTGTTGGCTACGCTGATACTTCAAGCCCGTTGTCAAAGGCCTTGTGGTTTTAACTCGTCTTTTCCCACAAAGCCTCAGGATCTCGATTCTGCACGCGTCGGGAAGCACAGACATAGATGTGCTTCGCTTTACTGCGCGGGGAAACTTCAATGAACACAAATCGAAGCGGGGGGGTTACAATAAGGGGGCTGTTCACCACAATTATTAAGGAAACGCTTTTGTCCAGGCTGAGAGAGTTCTTAGAGCTGAACACAGCAGATTCGTGCAGCAATTATTATTATTGCAGCTAATTTCGCCTTGAATTTTCAAACCCGAAGTGCTTCACGGTGTAACCCACTTTGTCCACTGAAGTGCAGCCCCACCTGAGGGACTGAGATGCATTACCTGTGTGAAAACGTGCTCGATTTTATTTCTTTTTCCCCATGTTTGGTTACAATCGGTGATCTCAGCCGCAGTGCCTGGTGGGTCCCCTTTCTTCTGGTTTTTGTTCCAACCTGAGCTGTCAATTAAATGCTTGAAATAATTAATTTCTTAGACGGGCAGGATTTCGTTTTCTTAAGATCCTCTGTGGCCGATCACTCAAAACCACCACTTTGTGAAAGGTACAGTGCCTTCCAGAGCACCCCATGGCCTGGTTAGAAGTGTGAGGTGTTCAGTTAATTGATCAATTAGTCAGGCTTCTGTATAACTCCGAGCTGTAGTGGAATCAAGGCAGAGGGCACTGGGCCCACCAGGAATTGAGTTTAAAACCATTGCTCAGACCCTGAAGCAGTTCATCACCATGCCACTGAGAGATACCCCTGAGAGCATGAGCATTTTTTTAGAACGCTGTAGTAACCAAGTAAAAGGTTGGGAAGCATTAAGGCTGAACTATTCTAGCAGTTTTTTTACTAGGGTAAAAAAGACTGAGCAATTAGTTCAAGTAAGGAGCTGCGTCAGCTGCAAAGGAACAAGTGAAGGTTTATTCCCCGCTGTAAAGAAACGCAACTTTTCGGCTGTGGAGCCTTCTTTGGGTGTCAAGAAGGTGACACCCGAAGAAGACTGAGCAATGCTGTGTTGTCATGAGAAGCATGAGTTCATTTTTCAGCTCGTGTTGTGGTGAGATTGGTCAGGTTCAGTTACGAGAGGTTATGTTCTTGCAAAACTTCCTTTTTCCCCCCTCTCCACTGTACGCGCTCCGCGAGGTCGGCTCGGAAGCTTGTGCAATTTCTCTCGGCCGCCTCGGTCACGCGGGACGGGGAGCACTGCTCCTGCAGCCCCCCACTCCTCGCGCTGCAGGGAGGGGCTGCGCCCCACATGCTCGTGATGTCCCGTCTGCGTGCGTGGGGCCACACCGTGCCTGTGCCCCGTCGAAACCTCGGCTGGCGTTTTGTGCGCTCGTGTAACTTGGGCAGGGGCACATAAGCTTGAGGAATCTGGACGCCCCTCAAACCTGTGCAGTCAGATTTAGAATTTTCCTGTTACACAAAGGACCGTCTGTCTGTGAGAAATGGAAAGTGTGCTGTGAGGTGTGTAGTTTTTGTGTAAACCTTTGTGATTCTGTTGTAGAGTTCTGTCATTTTCTTCAAGCAGCAAGAGCCCTGTGTTTTACTCCAGATCTGTCAAAGGGCAGCACAGTGCTGTGGCCTCCCAGCTCTCAGGCCATAGGTTGAAATCTGGACTGGGACACGTTGTGACGTGAGTTGCATTCCCCAGAATACGTAGGCGTTTTCTCCAGAAACGTCACTTCTCCGCCACCACCCTAAGACAAGCAAGGTGGGTTAATTGTCTCAACTTGTCACTGTGCGTGTGTACGCCCTGCAAACCGCTTGCATCCTGTCCAGGAGGTAGTCCTGTCTTAGTCCTTAGCAGGAATTATTGGCTTTCTGATAATGGGAAGATGAGAGTATGCTACGTGTCAATAATGACCTTTCCCATCCTGCAGTGAGCTCTGACCCTTTGCAATACATGACTTAACTTGGGTACCAAGCCAGGACTGTAAAACCAAAAGAATCTGCTTTTCATCTGCAGCAGCAGGTGTGAGGCATCGTGGCTCCAGAGACACCTCTCATCTTCATACTGTAGGTGTTCTTTCCTGGGTAGAACTAAGGAAAAACATGTGCCTGAGATGACCATTCACTTGGAAAAAGGTTCTTGCTTTGGAAAGTTAGTGATATGCTTCTGACATGGGAAAAGAGAATAGAGAATACACAACGTTTTGGCTGTGGAGCCACCTTCTTCTTCTCTTTGTTTGTGTTTGACAGTTATGTTTCCTGTGCTAGTCCAGGGGCACGTTGGGGTGGAGCTGCACAGTAGCTATTTTCTCACTTTGGGTTGCAGTTATACTAGTAGTGTGATGTGTGCCACAGGGGTCAGTTAAGAAAAAGATAAAAATAGCAAAGTGCTTAATCATGTGCTGAGCAACAAGAATGCAGAAAGACTGACAGTATGGAGGTCGTGCTCTGAATATGTATCACCTGACTGTTAATGTTCACTTCCTGCGACTTTTCCGGCACAAAACGAGCTGGAACAGGTGCTCTCTGCCCTGGGGGCTGCAGTATGCTCACTACCAGTGCGGACAGGTGTGTGGTACTGGACATCTCCTGCCGAGTCGCTGTCTAGACCAGACGTCCACAGTCCTTCACAGCTGAACATTGGGAAAGTTCCAAATAAGATGCCCTTCGGCCCATTAGACCAGTTGAGCTTTTAACAGCTAATCGATGGAAGGATTTCATCCAGCTTTCCTTAGGAGAAGCCTGGGTATCGGCTTCAACAACATGGCCAGGTAGCCTGTTCCAAAATCCTGCCTCCCTTTGTATATGTGTATAAAAAAAGAACAGAAGGCACTTCCTCATAGTTTCCACTTGTGTCGAGGAATCAAATTGGGTTTCCAAGACCTCCGCTCGTTAATGTGAGGAACAGCTTTGGTGCCGTCACCCTGGGGCGATGTTTCTCGCGTCTTGGAGGACACCTGCGTCTTCTGGGTTTCCTTCCTGCCGAGCCACCTGCTTCCAAGGCCGCGTGGCCGACATTCCGTTACACCACAGAGCAGCTGGCAGCGAGCAGCGCTGCCACGGTGAGCTCGCGGGCGCCGGTGTGGCAGGAGAGAGTCCTGTAGGACGAGGCTTCAAGCTCGAGTCGAGCACGGGGTCGCTTCTGCTCTGACTCTGAGGGGGAGCCATATGGGCTGTGCACATCCTGGATCACCGTTGAAGGACCACGCTCTCTCTCTCATCTTTGTTCCAGCAAAGCCTTTTAGTTTCTAAAACAGAGTTCCATTAAAAGCTTCAGCTTATGTCTTTCACGTATCGTATCGGACAGAACGTGGCATTAGCGCTGTGTCCTGGTTATAGAGTGTGGCCGTGTGGTGCTGCACACTTTTTAAAAAAAAAAAAGAAATATTTGAACCCTATTAGACCCTTTCAGTGCAAGTGATCTAAGGGGGTTCATCACAGTTTTCCCAAAACTCTGAAGAGAATAAACAGGAACCCATGTAAATTAAGCCAGATACTTGTCCCATTTTTGGTTGGACATAGGCTGTGTGTGTCTTCTGGTTTCTGGTATTTAAATTTGATGTAAGAGTGAACTTTAGGTCTTCTAGCGTTAAATATTACAGATCACTCCATTTCCTTCATGGTATTTATATTCTGTGCCTATCCTTCAAGTTCAAGTTTATTGTGCCTGCATACAATGAAGTGCTTACTTGCATTCCTCCCCTGATAAATGACACAACGGATGACATTACAGAACGTTGGAGACGGGAGACGTGGTAGTAGCCGTAGTCTTAAGCTGCATTCAGATAGTAGTGGTGTGCAAAATTCAAGTAAAGGCAGTATTTGCTTTACTTGCTCAATCGCCTTGTGACGTTCCCTTTGCAGTTCTTAAGAAATCTTAAAAAAACGCCCAAATCCTCGAGTGGGAGTATTAGGTGTCCCAGAATGACGTTGCTCTCCGGAAGATCCACACAACACTTCAAATGCCTCCTAAGCCCCCACCCCCTCCTCTACAGAAGTGTGTGAACAGCGTCTCAAACCGAAAAAGAGCTTGTTGCAGGGAGTGACGTCACTCGGGGATCGAGCACGAGAATGGGTGGCTGTCCTCTCTGCAATTCTGGCATTTCTTGATCGTTTAAAAAACTGAGCTCATTCTACAGGCAACAGAAACCACAGGGTATTAATAAGAATAAGGAAACAGTGGTTAATGACAGTAAGGTTTTATGGTATAGTGATCATCCACACTTTAACTTCTTCAAGTAATCCTCTTGCACTGGAGATTTCGTATCCGAAGGATTGGATGAGTGGGGAAGTGTAATTCTTTACCCGCCCTCACCATAACTCACCAGGTCTTCTCTCTTGTGACCTCTGCCTGATTCCTCCTGTAGGCGTTTTTGCTGTGTGCGTGGTGTTCATCTGCACGCTCAGTTGCCTGGAGAGTGCATGCTTCATTTCTGTTGCCTCTGCCTGCAGTAGTGGTGTGCGCGATATTCCCTTCACTGTCAATTCAGTGAGAAGGTTCTAAACCAGTTTGCACGCGGAACACGAGACTGTCGTTTTTGTGGAGTGGTGACACCATGAGACGCTAACTTCTAACCCACAAACCTATCAGTGTAAAACACAAGTTGGGAACGGATGTTATAACTCCTTTAGCTACACTACTACTTCCTCTTGTAGTTCTGAGTGATAAATTGATGCATTCTGATGCATGCTGTCCTTGTGCAATGTCTCATTTCCAGGCAGGCTGTGAAAAAGCATCAATACAGTAGGTTTGCACACGTGCCCCTGAATCAACCTCTTTGCTTTTTACACACTTAGTTTGTGACAAAAACTGCAGTCTAAGAAGGAAGCTGGTGGTAGCCCTGGAACCAGAGATCCACTGGGCTCTTTGGTTTTCATCTGTTCTCTGTTTCCATCCAGGTCTCTGCTCAGTTTGGCTCTCCGGGACCAGGGCTGCTTATGGAGTCTTGTCTTCTCTGCTGCAGTGACCTTTTCACTGCTGTAAAGCCTAGCGTGTGGCTCTTGTTTTTTTTTTTTCTCTTTTACATCCCACACATGAGAAGTTGTGATGACTCTTCTGATCAATCTGTTCTTTTGTAGGTTGGGTTTGTGCCGAAGCGAGGCAGTGAAGATGGCTGAAGCAGAGCTCCAGGCTGCGGTCGCCGGACACAGCTCTCCCCGAGATTAAAACGAGTAAGCGTGGCGTGGGCTTCTTTAAAAAAAATCTAAAGGTTGAAAACAAGAAGGTTTCAGTGTCGCGCATTGCGTCCCAGTCAGTAGCGATGGTATTGAAAGCCCAGGATCTCATCTCTGCCGGGGACAGTGAAAGGACCCAGTGCAGTCTCTCGAGAGGGTTAAGAAAAGGAGGACAGCTCTGGGTTTTCCCTGCTGCGTTTGAAGTCGGGGGAAGCTGTTTAATGGCCGTGTATGGAAAAAGTTTTGAGCTCGGAAGAAGAGTGAGTCTGAAGACAGTGCGGGTTGCGAAGGCGCTTCTGACCGCGATCTGTGACCGGTGGCCTGGTGTCCGCAGGCCCACGGGCGGTCTGCTCCAGCTCTGCCTGTCCCTCGGAGCCGTACCCTGGAAGTCAGTCAGTCATTTTCCTTCCCCGTGACTGAATCCGCTGTGCTCTTCCTGAACGCCTGGGGTGGCTGTATGTAAAGGGAGAGGTCTTCCCTTTCTGGTAGCGTGTCCAGAGGGGGGCTGTGCTCAGGGGAGTGATGGGCAGTGGGACCAGGTGCCCTCTCATGGCCGCTGGCTGGTGTTCTGCAGTGCCGGATTTCCCATGAGGCACTGTAGGCACAGTGCCTAGGCCCTACGACATTTCCAGGGCCTCCGAAGGAGGTAAACACTAGTGACGAACGAAAAACGAGCTGAAACAACATGCTTGCGATCGACTCCAAATCAATAATCATCTGCTATCTAGCGGCTGTTCTAGAAACTAGGAGTATCGGAGCCATCGTCGCTCGACTCGCTCTGTCAAACGTGTGGTTTAGCATTCGAATATGCATGTCGTGTGAATCGACGTCATTCAACTGGCGTTGACCCCTCTCTTTTTGCACATTTCGGAGTGGAAGTGCCGAGGGCCGATGCACACCAAAATCCATCCCTGTGTGTGGCGGGAGAGAGGGAGGTCCTGGCGGCCAGCAGGAGCCCTGCCCGTGTTTGTCCAGCTCCTGGCAGTCCGGGCGCGTGCGCGGTCAGGTCTAGTCTGTCACGCCTGGTGCCGCATCCTGGGAATCAAGTGGCTCTTCCTCCCAGCCCTTCCCTGGCCACCACCACCATTCCCTTTCCGACTCACAGGGGGGCAGCAGACACCAGCGGCTGGGCTCGCTCCTCTCCTGGGCAGATCTGCGCCTGTCTGTGGTCAGGGAGGGAGCAGGGAGCCTTGGAGTGCTTCAGCTGCTGCCCACCGTCCTCGTGCCGAAAAGGCAAGCCGCTACGAGACGGTCATGTTTAACCAGGCTGCCTCCTGCCGCTGAGCCTCCCATCTAGAGTTTGCCGTTCCCCGTAGTGGAAAAGGAATATTTTCCTGACCTCGAAATGCAGCGAGAGGTCATGGGATTGGAAAAAGCTGTTGGAAGATCGGCTGTACGTTAGCGCTGGTGCTCAGCGCGCACATCAAAGCTCTAAAAAGGGCTATCTTTTTTTCTTTGCACAACTTAGTGGTTTCAGAGGTGTGTATGTAGGGGTGGTGGTTTCTGGTATGAAGGTGGGGGGACTCCGGTGTGTAAAGCAGGAATTATCTCCAGCTGTGTGTGTGCCTCTGCCTTGTGTCACTCTCTGTCTGGTCCTGGGCTGCCCCAGCTTGTCTCACCTGCCGCGTGCTGTCTACCAGTTCAGCGAGACTCCACCCATGCCTGCGGGTCCAGGCAGGCACGCACTGCGCCATGCTTCTCCTGGCCCTCTGGCCCGGGGATCATTCCGCTCCTGTGCCATGTGTGAAACGGAGCCTTCAAACCGCCTCAAGGGTAGTCGGTCTTGATCGCTTTTTTTTTTTTTGCTGAGGCGTCTGTTAAATTGCCACCTTAGGTTAATGTGTTAATTAATTAATGTTTAATTAATTAATTAATGTTTCTTTATTAGCCCTATACAATTTCTTGCATTAGGAATTCATCTTTTCGCATACCCCAGCTTTTTCTCCATGGAGACACAGACACACAGACAGGGAGAGAGAAGCAGGGGGTCACAGCGCAGGGTCAGCCATTGTACAGCGCCCCTGGAGCAGTTAGGGTTAAGGGCCTTGCTCAGGGGCCCAGCAGAGTAGGATTCCTCTGCCAGCTGCGGGATTTGAACCGGCAACCTTCCAGTCACAGGCACAGATCCTTAGCCACAGAGCCACCGGTATCCCCTTTTGTAAGAGAGGGAACAAAATGTCCTCTAGGGCCGGCAAATCCTTTATACTCCCAGGAGCTCCCGCGCTTTTCGAATTCCCACAGCTGCGAATTCCTGGAAAAAGTCACCTGATCACCTGAGTCTTTCTTGCTGTTGCCAGGCAGCTGTGAAGCGTCGGGCAAACACGGTCCTGTTCTTGCAGAGGGAGGGAAAGTCTTTAAAATAAAGCTAGACAGGCCGTTGCAAGTTTTTCCAGTGGGTATGTCCCCGGTAGTTTTTGTACGGTCTAGTGGATCACGCTAGTTAATTGCTTTGATGACTGTGTGTGTGTGTCAGTCTCTGTCTGCTCTCTTCAGATGCAAGTAAAACTCCTGCAAACTGGAGAAGGAAGTTCCGGTTCTGTGTCGAGTGGAAATTATACCTCCCCCACAGAAGGGATATAAATATCCCCAAGCAAAAAAAAATATGACTCAGAAACGGTAAAATAACGGCATAATAATAAAAATGAGAATTGGGATTTATCCCAATTTAGTATATAAAATAAGACTGGTTTGGATAGAAAGTTGCAGGTTATTTGCTCAGCATGGTACTGTTTTCTGAAAGTCTAGGGTGAGCCTTTTATTGTTGATTTTCTTGGCAAACTGCTTGTCCAGGGACATGAAGTTTAAACGCAGGCAACAATTGCGCAGCGATGATAAGGTAAACCCGTTCACTTTAGTTAAGACAGTAAGGCACAAACTGGAAGGGCCGAACAAGCACCATGCAGACAACTGAAGCATAATAAAAGAGTACACTGTGAAACAGTGGCTACAGAGACCTCATGGAAACACCCTGTAGGCACCTTGTTTACAGTGCTTGAGTGGAAGTAGCAAATTACATGATGAGTTTCAGAATTAAACCTTTACAGCAAAACAGTGCAGGAGTTAATGAAGAATGCAGTAGAAATATGAATCAAAGATAATTTTGATCAGCCATCTGCCCATAGAAATGCATCCACCCAGGGCCTTTAAACCGAAGTGCCCGGAGCCTACAAGGGGCTCAACCCCCTTCCTCCGCCCTGTCTGGAGCAGGCCATCTGTTGAACTGGGGGAACAGCAGGGTGAGGAAGAGGCCCTAGAAGAGATGGTCCACACTGGGAGGGAGAAAGAAGCAAGATGGCTATATGGTAGTCAACACAGCCCCTCTGTGCAGTTTGTGACTTTTATTACACATCAATAGAAAAATCTGCTTCCTTCACGAAAGAAGGAATCTAGTGATCAGTGTCTTGAGAATACTACACTGAGTCCTGAGTGCGCGAGGACCAGATGTGATTTCAGGTCTGCCACTGCTTTTGAAGTGATGCAGCCAAAGGAGAAAATCTCCTCCATTAAGGATTTTTCCCCATTTTCCCTCATCCATGTAGTTCTCGCCATTTTTCTCCACTGTTTCACTGAGCTGTTCTGACCAGGCCCATCTCTTGCAGTGTCCTCTTTCTGTCATTTACAGCTGATCACGGAAACCTCTTATAAGCTGTTTTAGTGAGATTTCGTACTATAAGACGGCGGTTATGGATTCTTGCAGTCTGCCAGCTGACCAGAGACTGATCGTCAGCTGTGTGTGGTTGCTTTCGAGGTTGGGATCATTGTCTAGCGGGGGGGGGGCTGGTCGCAGCTGACTTGAGTGTGTTAAGTGGTGAAGCGCTGGTCTCTGCAGAATGTTACCCGATTCCCAGTGTACTAGAAGCCTGCATTAGTGCCTCCCTGGAGCCCCGAGAATGCCAGTGATTGCAGGGGTGCGGTTTCCCCGGGGGAGGGTGTCAGCTGTCTGAGCGGAAGGCATGTGGCGGCCGAGAGTGACCCCTTCGACCCCGCCCCACCGCGGCTCTGACCGTCCTGGCTTCGGGTTTCTGTGGCCCTGCCTACCACCCATGGTGTGTTCCTCTAAAAGCTGTCGGAGAGGTGGTTTATCGATTCGTACAGGCCGCAGAAAAAAAATAAAAGCACAAAGATGCTCTGTGCTTTAAATGGGGGGCTGGGCCTGGGTGGGCGGTGCAGCCAGGATCGTCTTCCCAGCGGTCATGGTCTTCGGAGGGGCTGGTAGTGATGCCAGCACGCACAGGCAAGAACGGAGAAATTCAAGGCTGCCCGTTTCCAGCATTTTATGCTGCACACACCTGGAATAAGGTAATCGGTGGTCATTTTGTTTTCTGTGCAAGCATGGTTTCAGGAAGGCCGCTGCCCTTTCCAGAAGTGGCCAGTCGTGCTGCTCTGAAGTGCCTGTGGGTTTGATTGGGGTGACGTTGGCATGCGAAACTTGATTTGCGTGCTTATCTCGGTGTAAAGTTGAACCACAGGGCTGTTGTACGTTCGGCATGCAAAGACGTCTGGCTGGTAATGGCAAGTGCTGCTCTGGGCGTGCAGTCGGAGCTCAGACCGTCGTGTGTACCCTGCCTCCTCCTCCTGGCCTCTGAGCTGTTTGGAGAAAGCAGAGGCTTTGAAACGAGATATGCCTGATGACTACCTGGCTTAACACAGTAATTGTGAAGACTGGATTTTTTTAAATGGCCTTTCTAAGAAATATGAACTTCTCTGGGGTGTGTTTTCGGTGTGGCCGCGCACGGCCCGCTCTGCTCCTCCTCGGTCCGCGACCGCTGCTGTGGCGACTGCGAGCTCGGCTTGTGGTTAATGGGCGTGGAGGAGCAGCAGCCTTCCTCACTCCCTGATGTGGTCTTGAGCCTTGGGGTGACAGGGTCATGCATCTGACCCGACGCTCAATGCCATCAAACCCTCGTGTGCTGGGAAAAGAGCATTCTTATTCCTGGCGCCCTTAGTGCTGGATCTCTCAAAAGATTCTCATGAAAAGAGCAGCACTTATCTTTGTAATCTAACAGTTCCCCTCATCAAATTGGCAGGAAGAATACTTCTGTAATGATTAAAAACAATATCTGCATTCTTTAGATCTCTGTGTCGGTTTATTTTTGCCATATACACATAAAACTGTTCTTCGCTCTTTTTGTAGATTGATATTTGGATCTGAAATGTCTTCTTCCAGACTGACGTCTTTTAGATGATAATGGCAGCTGGATTGAATTTCATTTAAAAGTGATCTTCATCCAATTATGAGTGCAATCTTATTTCGCTGCCTGAGGCTTGCTTAAGCTGATGCTTTTTGGCCTTTTATGATTCTTGAGGAGCTGCTCAGCTTGCAGAGAATCTTCTGTCTTTTTTTTCTGCTCTTGGTCTGAGAGAGAGTTCTGTGGTGTGGCATGCAGGTGTATGAGAAAAAGTTAAATTCTTACCTGCAGCCAGGCTGTAGCCTTACAGTGAGCTTGGATGATGGCATTTTTCTTCAGTTAAGAAGAAAACGTTTGAGCTTGTTTCACTCAACTGCCCTTATTTGACCCATGAAAACTGTTATGGAATCTTTCCTCCCAATGTTCACAATTCTGTCTCCAAACATGCCTGTCGTGCCTCTGAATGTTCTTGCATGCAATGGTGTGCATCTAATCTCTGTCTAGACAAAGATTGCGCAATTCCTTCCCTTCTCTGCTCATTTATCCTAGCAGTTGTTTTCTAGCGTTAAGTTAGTGGTTTAAATTTATTGCTATGGGAATCGCTGTTTCTACTTCTGTAGCAGGATGGCTATAAGTCAAGCCTCTGTTATCGATTGTGATCGTAGCTGCAGCTAACCTGAACCAGGTTCGGCTTTGTTGGGGAACTTGTTCTCATGCATTCTGATCTGTCTTTTGTTTTGGCCAAGAGAGCTCACCCTGCATATTTGCCTCAATGTAGTATTCTCTGCAAACTTTTTGTGTATAAAGCCTCTATTTAAGCGTCATAAACCTTACATCTGTGTCTGTGAATTGAGTGCTTAAGAGGCATAGGCTGACAGTACTGTGAACTCTTCTCCAATATAATTTATGCTGTTTGTAGGTTTTTATCTGAATAAAACTTTGGGCTGTTTGAAGTCGGTTTGCAGTCTACAGGTCATGTGTGAGCTGTTTTTCAAGAGAGCATACCCTGGATCTGTCATCTTAAGCAGTACTCTCTACAAACGTTTATATCATGTGCCTGTTTAAGGCACATGATATAAATAATAATTTAACATTATTATTGCTTAATCTGTGGATTGTGTGCTTTAGAAGCAGAGGCTGGCAGTATTGTGAGCTCTACTTTATCCCATTTGCATCCTGGAGAAAGATAAATGGAGAGAGTTGAGCAACTGTGCCACTCATTCTGTTCACAGGCTTCTATCCAAATGAAAAGCCCGGGATCGTCCGCATTCTACATGCACCGTGTGTGAGAAGCTCGAACCCGAGACG